ACCTGGTTCACTCCTGGTTTAGTCCTGCTTCAGTCCTGGTTTAGTCCTGGTTTAGTCCTGGTTCAGTCCTGAAAAAAACAAATCATTATCCATTTTTTCATTTTGGTTTTGGAGACAAATAATGAAGAAATAGTTTTTTTTTTTCATTTTCTTATTTTTGGTTTTATTTTGAAAAACAAATGAACGAATGATACACAGATTCAACGCTCACTAGAAAACATTTTGTGTGATACAGGACCTTTAAATTAAACAAACTTTATGCTTCCATGAGTTGATTTCACATTGGGAATTCCAGCTGTGTGTAGCGTTTGAGTAATTCCTGGGATAAAACACAATAAGGAGATAAAAGCGAGTAGTGATTCTGTTGATAGGCATCTGCTAATGTAATTCAGGCCCCAGGGAAGTTTTGGGTCAAATCTGTGAGTCACCCAAACCTGCCAGTCAGCACATTTACAGCGTGTATGGCATTTCCTCTCAGCGTTTAAATGTCCGTAATTACAAAATGTGACTTTTTAAAATAAGAGAACAGTTTTCGAGTGGCTTAAAGTGGCCATTTTACACAATTTTCTGATCTGATCCAAGTTATAATGTTGCTTCCAAATCAAAGATGGACCTGGAGTTGTGTTGTTGAGTTGTTGTATCATTAAGAAGTTGCCGATACGATACATACCTCGATACATAAGCCACGATACAATCTTGATACAGTACACTTTTGATTCGACACAATATATTTCAAAACTATTCAATACGGTTTAATAAAAAATAAAGGTTAAATCATGGCTGTGACACTAAAAGTCTTTGTTAAACCACTTCTTGTGCAAAGTTCATATGAAACATAAACATTTTAATCATCAAAACTGTGAAAATGTCACTAAACAAGCATCAAAACTGTATCTCTGTAACAAAATAATTTAGTAAAATATACCAAAAAATACTCTTGGTGATATATCGATACAGCAGCCCACGATATCGATACCGTATCATCACATTAAACGATACGATATATGGATATTTTGATATTTTTGCACACCCCTTATTCGTACACGTTTAACACACTAAACCCTGCGTATTTAGGTATTTAAGCTGAGTTATTCTCTTAAACTTAAAACATGCCATTCCACCTTGTGATGTCATCTGGAAATACAGGAAGTGCTCCATACACTTTGACTAGAATCATTTGGATATTTTCAGCCCTGGAATTGCCAAACTGAGCTGTTAACTTGAAAACTACCATCCGTGACATCACAAGTTGAGGTAGACTGTTTTGAGTTTTGAAAATGTTTACTTTAGTTTACTTTTCTTTGGTCAGCTAACATAATCATTAATCATATTACAGTGATTTAACACAGAAATTATGCAGATCACTAAAGTTTTTCTACAGACCGAAGGGGTATAGGCTGAAGTTTTAACTCTTATTTTGCCAAACCCTATTAAAGGGACAGTCCGGAATTTTGAACATAGGACCTCATTTCCTAAGTGAACCAGAGTGTTGGAGACGTGTGGAGACACTGTTTTAAATATTCCCTCCAGTCCTTGTATTTGCAGATGTCGCTGGTGCTAGACTAGTGCATGTCAATGGCCATAGTTATCCTGCCACTAAAAACAGTCTTACCCACTCCACAAAACACCCGAAGCGAAACAATTATTACGCCAGACTGTCGATGTGAATGTCTGTGTTGATAGAATAATGTTTGAAATAAAACTAACCTTGCATCTCATGAATCGTCGCATGTTGAGGGACTATTTTCTCATATATCAGTCCGCCGCTGCCAAGCTTTCTTTCTGGAAGTACAACTCACTGCTGCTGCTCAGACATAAATCCTTCAAATGCAAGGTTAATTTTATTTCAAACATTATTCTATCAACACAAACATTTACATCGGCAATCTGGCGTAATAACTGTTTTGCTTCGGGTGTTTTGTAGACTGTTTTTAGTGGCAGGATAACTATGGCCATTGACATGTACTAGTCTAGCACCAGCGACCTCTGCAAATACAAGGACTGGATGGAATATTTAAAAAAGTGTCTCCACACGTCTCCAACACTCTGGCTCACTAGGAAATGAGGTCCTATGTTCAAAATTCCGGACTGTCCCTTCAACAGGGTTTGGCAAAATAAGTGTTAAAACTTAAGCCTAAACCCCTTCGGTCAACTTTCTGAAAGACTGAGACAGACTGATAATAATTAATCACTCAAACATGGGTGAAGGAAACAAAACACCACTTCAGGTTTATGCTTGAGGAGGCCTAAAGTTCACAAGACTCAAGTGTGTGTATTATAGAACCTTTAAGCAAATCTGTGTAGTCACTAAGGATGTAACAATAACAGAAATATCGTGATATCGTATCATCAAAAGTCTCACAGTAATATCGTGGGCTGTCACAATATATCGAATTACAAGTTCCTTTGCTTAAATACACGGTTTTATAGAAGCAACATCTTATGAACATCGGAAACTACATATCCCATGATTCATTTCAGCGCAGACAACATGAAGAAATATGTTTTTGATTTGAATTCTTGGGATTATGACGGAAATAATTCACACCAAAATCGTGTCAAGGTATTTTAAAAACAAAAAAGTGTCCTATCTACAATTATATCAGCCTCTTCAAAATATCGCAATAAACATCCTACTGTGAGATGCATATCGTGATAATATCGTACCGAGATATTTTGATATTGTTACATCTCTAGTTGTCACAGATTCTTTTTTTTTACTGGTACTAAACTACTAAAAGTGCAAAATGATCAGTCCACATTCACAGATCAAGAGGGGGCTTCGGTATTTTTTTTTATTTGACAATTGCTACCCGGCTTAATAATGTTAATGGACTTTTGTCATCCTGATATTTTTTGTGTCACACTGAAAAAGGTGAAAACGACCTCCAAATTTCCCACTCTAGACACCGACAGCATTTTCGGTATTTACTCCTGCCGGAAACTGAAGAGAGCGTTCCAATCATGTCTGTGTGCTGCTATTTACTCAGATGGTTTTCAGTTTTGCATATGCGTCTGAAAATATTGTAAATCGTCCCATTAAGACAACAAAGACTATTTTCGTTATGATGAATTATAGCTGCAGACGGCAAAATGGCTCATGCGTGTGGTACATCGTTTTTCATAATGTGAAATTTAAGACCTGGCGTTTGACTGATTGTAACTCACAGAAATATTCTGAAGTACATACTATGCAAATTGACTTTTCTTTTTTAGCTTTTAACTACTGTCCCTGCATCAAAAACATATCAGGATTGTGACGTCATAGGTAAAGATTCTGAGGTTTCCGGCCAAATTTTAAAGTACACAAATCTTCACCGGATTTGTTTGAATAATTTCTATCATCAAATTGCTTCCATTACAACTACATACTTACATTAGCATGCTAGTTGTTGATTTTTGTAAAAATGTAATGCCCTTTGCTGCCACTAGATTGAGTGTTTATTAGGGATGTAACAATATCCAAATCTCTCAGTACGATATTATCACGAAAAGAAAGAAATTGGGTTAAAATGATATCTAGTATGCATAGTATGTCATTTGTTTCACTGTAAATGTAAATTTTCAAAAGTCAATGTACAGCAACCACTGTCCATCCATCCATTTTCTTCCACTTATCCGGGGTCGGGTCACGGGGGCAGCAGTCTGAGAAGGGCCTCCCAGACTTCTCTCTCCACACACACTTCCTCCAGCTCTTCTGGAGGGATCCCGAGGCGTTCCCAGGCCAGCCGAGAGACATAGTCCCTCCAGCGTGTCCTAGGTCTTCCCCGGGGCCTCCTCCCGGTGGGACATGCCCAGAAAACCTCCCGAGGGAGGCGTCCAGGAGGCATCCAGAACAGATGCCCGAGCCACCTCAACTGGCTCCTCTAGACGTGGAGGAGCAGCGGCTCTACTCCGAGCTCCTCCCGTGTGACTGAGCTCCTCACCCTGTCTCTAAGGGAGCGCCCAGCCACCCTGCGGAGGAAACTCATTTCCAGTGCTTGTATCCGCGATCTTGTCCTCCAGAGCTCATGACCATAGGTGAGAGTAGGAACGTAAATTGACCGGTAAATCGAGAGCTTCGCCTTTCGGCTCAGCTCCCTCTTCACAACGGTCCGATACAGCGACTGCATCACTGCAGACGCTGCACCGATCCGCCTGTCAATCTCAGGCTCCATCCTCCCCTCACTCATGAACAAGACTCTGAGATACTTGAACTCCTCCACTTGAGGCAGGGACTCTCCACCCACCCACCTTTTTCTGGTCGAGAACCATGGCCTTGGACTTAGAAGAGCTGATCTTCATCCCAGCCGCTTCACACTCGGCTGCAAACTGCCCCAGTGCATGTTGAAGGTCCTGGTTTGATGAAGCCAACAGGACAACATCATTTGCAAACAGCAGGGATGAAATCCTGTGGTCCAAAAACCGGACCCCTCCGGCCCCTGACTGCGCCTAGAAATTCTGTCCATAAATACAATGAACAGACCCAGTGACAAAGGGAAGCCCTGGCGGAGTCCAACATGCACCGGGAACAGGTCTGACTTACTGCCGGCAATGTGAACACAGCTCCTGCTCCGGTCATACAGGGACCGGACAGCCCTTAGCAAAGGGCCCCGAACCCCATACTCCCAGAGCACCCCCCACAGGACACCACGAGGGACATGGTTGAATGCCTTCTCCAGATCCACAAAACACATGTGGACTGGCTGGGCAAACTCCCATGAACCCTCGAGCGCCCGATGGAGAGTGTAGAGCTACAGCAACCACAGAATTTTGGAATTTTTGAAACTTTCACTTCCACTCCTTTTTGAGAAATGTATTTTTCTATTGTTGACAATGTGTATGTAGTATGATTATTGTTTTTCTCTTGGCACAGACTAAAAATTAAAAAAAACAAATCAAACATTGGCCAGCAGCTAGAACATCACCTCCCCCTTACCCCCGTGACAGTTTTTCTTATTTATTTACACGTATGTCAGTCCTACATAATCACATTCATGTCTTTTCTCTCTCTCTGACAGGCCAGTAAAGACCCCCTTTTCCTGACCGGAGTGACCTTCCCTTCGGAGTCTCCCGCTAACCCCGAGACACTGGTGAAGCTGACGGTGTATGACGCAAAAGACAAGAGCCAGGAGTCTGTGAGTAAACACCTGTTGTTTTCTATTCGCTGTGTCGATTTTTTATTTATTTATTGTGCTTTATATTTTATTTTGCCTCTTTACCCTCTCAGAATTAATGAATTACCCATAATAATGAAATTCAAAGTAACTCTATGAAATTACTGAACATGATAACAAAAAATAACAACAGTATTTTGTTCATGTTCATGTGATTTTATTTGGTCAGTGTATGACTAATTACAATCCACATACATTATATTCAATCTGATGTCATAAAATAAAACATTTTCAGTGTGTAACAATCAAATCAAACATTAAGTAAGTCACTGACCAGGTGTAGGCAGAAGCTGAAGCTTATTGTTCCTCCACTTATCTCCAACTCCAGCACGTTCATGGACATTTATCTCAAAATTAATATGACATTAATACAACATTTACTACATCATAGTAAAAAAAACCCAAAACAATTATGCTTATTATAACAAAAATCTCTTTACTGTCGTTATTCTTTCAGATGTTTTTCCATTACTAGTCTCTTAAAAGTCGATTGTTTTAGCTCATTGCAGCAACTGTTCTATAATTTATCTTACCTGATTCATCAGCCGGTTTCACTTTGTGGAAACAGTCTGACCTCACAACATTAAGATTTGTTCGCTCGATGGTAGACAGGTACTTTTTTAAATTTAACCAATCGCTGGTATTTGGTCATGACGTTTGTAATGCGCCGGAACGCTCAGTGGTGTTTAAAGGTTGTATAGAGGATTTTCCAAGGAACGAGAAATCCAGCGACTGTTTGTCCTTTTTCAAATGTTGCGCATGCGTGAAACCACCCCCCCTCCCCTACAGCTCCCTACGTAGAAACGCCTCCTCCCGCCTCCTCCTCTTTACGCCAGAAACAGGTTTGTTTACAGCCGGTGAGCTGCACACATGACTTGTAAACAACTAACTACAGTGTTGGTTAGGCAAGACGGAGAAGTGAGGAGCGGGGGGAGCGGGTGTGCGGACATTTCGTGCGCGGACGAGAAGTGAGGAGCAGGGAGAAGAGCGGAGCAGGGAGAGAGGAGAGGAGAGAGGAGAGCGGGTGCGCGGAGATTCCGTGCCCGGAGAAGTGAGGAGCAGGGGGAAGAGTGGATCGGGCAGCGGGGAGAGGAGCAGGAAAGGGGTGCAGAGAAGGGTGCGCGGAGATTCAGTGCGAATGAACTAGCTACAACACGCAGCAGCAAGCGGACTCTTTCTTTGCCTTGAAAATTAAGTTTTCAGACATAGGATATTGCTTTCGTGTCCTGAAAAACGTTTGACTAGCTCTTGGAAATAAAGTACGTTTTCATAATAAGCAGAAGTTGACCTGTTCAGGAGTAATTTGTGGACCAGTGCGTCAGTCTTTAGACCCTTCGTCTGCTTCAGTTGCGCCATCCCTGGAATGAATCTTCAAGAATCACCTTAGTTTGGCTTCGCTGCTTTTCCCCTTGTCTTCTTCTTTCAGCGACCTCAAAAACGGACTTTCTTTTGTGGCGAACTGCTCCTGGATTCTTGTCGCCATTGCAACAAACTTTGTGCGAACTGCGAGGAAGATATAGGTCAAAAAAAGCCACTAAGAACTGTTGCGTTGGTGGAGTAAACAGCGTCTGTGCGTCTTGCGTCTGTGGACTGCGTGACAGTCGTACGTAAACCACGTAACGGTGGCGCGCAGGCAAGTCAGTTACGCTAACGAGGCAGTGTCGTTATCTATTGGCAAATGTTTAGCCCCACCACGTCCAGAGTTGATGAATTTTTATTCTCTTTTTTTTGGTCATCGTAATTACAAGGCTACTGCACCTCTATAATGCTATCATTGACAATTTGAAACAAAAAAAAATCCTCCATACAACCTTTAAGTAATTTCCGGCACAACAGCAAACAAAGCAGAGAGTGAACATGTCTGTCAACGATCATTGTAGTTTCTGCGAGATTAACTTGTGAATTAAAGGTGCAATAAAAAATTCAAAGTTTGTATTTGACAAAGGAAGTCCAAAGGAGGATATGTAGTCTGCTATTGCAACTCGGGTTGGTTCAGCTCTTCGTTGATTGTCCGGTGTGCGGTCACAACTTCTTGCAAATCGTCTAGTGCAGGTTTGCATGTTTCTCCCCGTGTCTGGATGGGTTTCCTCCAAGTATTTTGGTTTCCCCCATCAACCCAGAACATGCTACAGATCACCAGAACAGTTGATAGTCAAGGTCAGTTAAACACCATCAATCAATGAACCTGCCCACGGACAACAGGTGGAAATCAGCACTTCACCCTCATTGCCTAGTATGAAAGTGGTGTGTGCATGAGTGATGGTGATGGTCGGAGGGACTGTTGGTGTCGATTGGCATGGCAGCCGCGCTTCTGTCAGTCTGCCCCAGGGCATCTGTGGCTACAATAGTAGTTTACCATCACCAGGTATAGAGTGAATGAATAATGCTGAATGTAATTCTCTGTAAAGCGTCTTTGTGACAAAAAAAATAAATAAAAAAAATTCTGTAAAAAGCGCTACATAATTAAAGACTTACTTACTCCAACTTGTAGCTTGGGAGCTCCCAGCAGCTCTCCACCCCCTTTCCCGTAGCTTGCCAAGGGATTTCTGAATTGTATGTATTGCTCTTAATAACAAAAATCTGATTAATTACTTTTGTAAATGTGTCATTTTGATTCCTAACTTGTACAGTAATGCATGAATAATGGTTTATGTTTAATATTCATCTAACTGTACCCCATCTAAAGCTTGCCTCTTCTACTTCCTGAATTTCTTTACAATGAGTAGCTCTCTGGTGTTTTCGTTTCAGGAAGATAGCTCACCAGAGGAAAAAAGTTGGAGACGCCTGGTCTAGTGTATTCTGATTCCTGATCTAGTCGCTGGAGAGAAATGGAACTGAGCAGAGGCACTAGGCGGTGTCGGTCTGGCTATAATTTATCTCTCGCTTGATAGACAGTTTCCCATCAGAGTCGTTCTTACATGCGGCCTGTTGAACACACAGTACATGTAATCCTTAGATTTACTTTCTTTCTGAGTGAACATTGCCTGCAAAGAAAGAGAAATTTCATTATGTTTGACTTTGTACATGAACTTAGCCTTGAACAAGTCGACCAAGTCATAGAACTGTAGAACATTTGATTGGATGAACAATGAGGTACTGGGTGAATCAGACGGTGCTTTATTAATCAGTGTAATTACTCTTTTTTTTTTTTTTTTTTGCACTAGAAGGACTGGATTAGTTCTAGTTTTATATGTGTTTCCCCAAATTTCAAGGCCATTTGTTAGGTAAGGTGTGATTTAAAAAAAAAAAAAAAAATGTTCAGAATATACTGTAATTTATATAAAATTCCAATTACCCACAATCTTTTAAATAATTTAAATTAAATCAATAATATAAAATGTGATAAATGAATATGATGATAAGGAAAAAGAAAGGAAAAAATAAAGAAGTAAAAGAAGAAAGATATAATAATTATCAAAAGAATAAAAAGAGGGCAAGAAATTATAGGTAAAACAAAATATTTTGACAAAGAAAGCTCTAAATATGGATTTGTGGTACTATGAAAACATCTGCGGCTAAGTTTATTTGCAATTCTTATATACACTTGGTCACCTTATGAAAAAATAGAAACGAAAATTACAAAAAAAGATTTGCAATTCAAGAAGGTAACACTCAAATTGCATTCGAAGCTCGCTGTGAAGAAGACGTCTTTCAAGTTCTTTCTCTGCTTTAAACTGTACGGGGGACAAACCTGAAACACGCCAAGAAATCGCCCGCAGAATCTCATTACCGTGTCATGTATTCTGCTCGCTAGAACTGATTTGGTGACTTTCTGGTGTGATAACGTCTGCAGTCTTTTATTTGAGGTCAAGCCGACGCTAGACCCTTCTTGAGTTTTTTTTTTTTTTTTTGAGGAGGAGGAGGATGATTTGCATGGCCGTTTGTACAGACCGACTGCAGATCCCAGAGGACACGGAGCATCAGTTAGAACGGGAATAAAAGACAGACGCAGAGAGATTGTGGGTGAGCCATATTGTGTGATTCTCAGATTAGAAAGTGTGTGTGGATGAATGCTTGATCTCATTCTCAGTTTGCTCGTGAGAGTTCACTAGAAACACTTCGCTGCCATAAGGAGCGGCGGGGGAATACTGCGTTTTCTGACTTCAAGATGCGCTGTGTAGCTTTGGTTTGGGGTCCGTCACCTGTTTGTTTCTTTGGATTTGTCATTACTCTGCCTGGGATGTTCCACAGTATGACATTGAGTGTGTTTACATGCACAAGAGTATCCTGGTTATGATCGGGTTTTTTGCGTATCCCTGTTTCTTCATGGTGCATGTTTACAGTTTCAGTATCTCGGTTATTAGAAATCAAGTTAATGAGTGCGTATACGTGCACATCAGTATCCCGGTTATTAGGCATGTCCCGGTTATTGCAGTATTCGGGGTACTCATGTACATGATCAAATGGAGTATCCCGGTTTCTTGACATAATCTTACAAATGTGCAAGCGCAAAAATTAACTTAAATCAATTTAATAAACCAGGAAAAATACAAACCATGAGCTCCTTTAGCAGAGGAAGCTCGGGAGGTTCCCACAATCCACTGCACAGATCAAACCCAACAGATTCTTCATTAAAATCTTCTGCATAAATAAACTCAACTTTACAACATATAAACCATAAACACTGTAGAGCCACATCAGCCTGTTTGATAAAATAATTCAGCTTTGTGCACATTTGTTTACATTTTACAGAAACGAAACTTAAACCCACATGGCTCATTTGCATAAACTGTTACTGCTGATAAAAACAGCTCCTTGTGCCGCTGATGCGATCAGCTTCTTTCGGACTAAAGGACACGACTCAGTGGATTATATGTGTTCTTTTTTGTGACAGAGGAGGTGCTGATGATGGTGAGTCTGTTCTGTGCGTGTATCGTATAGGAGATAGTTCATGTTTTAGATTTTCAGTGATCACACAAGTGCAGGTCGTACGAGTGCAGATTGTACATGTGCAGGTTTAG